AATAGGATCCTATTAGAGGTGGATCCATCCCTAATAGGATCCTATTAGAAGTGGATCCATCCTAATAGGATCCTATTAGAGGTGGATCCATCCCTAATAGGATCCTATTAGAGGTGGGCCCATCCCTACTAGGATCCTATTTGAGGCGGATCCATCCCTAATAGGATCCTATTAGAGGTGGATCCATCCCTAATAGGATCCTATTAGAGGTGGATCCATCCCTAATAGGATCCTATTTGAGGCGGATCCATCCCTAATAGGATCCTATTTGAGGCGGATCCATCCCTAATAGGATCCTATTAGAGGTGGATCCATCCCTAATAGCATCCTATTAGAGGTGGATCCATCCCTAATAGGATCCTATCTGAGGCGGGTCCATCCCTAATAGGATCCTATTAGAGGTGGATCCATCCCTAATAGGATCCTATTAGAAGTGGATCCATCCCTAATAGGATCCTATTAGAGGTGGATCCCTAGAAATCTCTTGCATCCCAAGGAAACTCTGGAATCCCCACGAATCTCTGGAATCCCTAAGAATCTCTGGAATCCCTCCGAATCTTTGGAATCCATCGGAATCTCTGGAATCTCCAGGAATCTCTGGAATCCATAGGAATCTCTGGAATCCCTAGGAATCTTTGGAATCCCGAGGAATCTCTGGAATCCCTAGGAACCCCTGGAATCCCTAGGAATCTTTGGAATCCCTGGGAATCTTTGGAATCCCTAGGAATCTCTGGCATCCCTAGGAATCTCAGGAATCCAAAGGAATCTGTGGAATCCCTTGGAATCTGTGGAATCCCTAGGAATCTTTGGAAGCCAAAGGAATCTCTGGAATCCATTGGAATCTGTTGAATCCCTAGGAATCTCTGGAATCCCTAGGAATCCCTGGAATCCCTAGGAATCTCTTGAATCCCGAAGAATCTCTAGAATCCCTAGGAATCCCTGGAATCCCAAGGAATCTCTGGAATCCACAGGAATCTCTGGAACCCTTAGGAATCTTTGGATCTTTAGAATCCCAAGGAAACTTTGGAATCCCTAAGAATCCCTGGAATCTCTGGAATCCTTAGGAATCTCTGGAATCCATAGGAATCCCTGGAATCCATAGGAATCTCTGAATCCCTAGGAATCTCTGGAATCCCTAGGAATCCTTGGAATCCCTAGGAATCTATGGAATCCCTAGGAACCTGTGGAATCCCTAGGAATCTCTTGCATCCATCGGAATCTCTGCAATCCCTCGGACTCTCTGGAAGCCCTAGGAATCTCTGGAATTCCGAGGAATCTTTGGAATCCATCGGAATCTCTGGAATCCCTTGGAATATCTGGAATCCCTAGGAATCTTTGGACTCCCTAGGAATCTCTGGAATCCATCGGAATCTCTGGAATCCCTAGGAATCTCTGGAATCCAAAGGAATCTCTGGCATCCCAAGGAATCTCTGGAATCTCTAAGAATCTCTGGAATCCCAAGGAATCTCTGGAATCCTTAGGAATCTCTTGACTCAAAAGGAATATGTGGAATCCCTTGGAATCTGTGGAATCCCTAGGGATCTCTGGAATCCCTAGAATCTCTGGGATGCCGAGGAATCTCTTGAATCCCCAGGAACCCTTAGAATCCATAGGAATCTCTACAATCCAGAGGGATCTCTGGAATCCCTACGAATCCCTGGAATCCATAGGAATCTCTGGAATCCCAAGGAATCTCTGGAATCCCTGGGAATCTATGGAATCCCTAGGAATCTCTGGAATCTCTCGGAGTCTCTGGAATCCCTAGGAATCTTTGGAATCCCTACGAATCTCTGGAGTCCCTACGGAATCTCTGGAATCCCTAGGAATCTGTGGAATCCCTGAGGAATCTCTGGAATCCCTAGGAATCTCTGGAAACCCTAGGAATCTCTGGAATCCCTGGGAATCTTTGGAATCCCTAGGAACCCCTGGAATCACTAGGAATCTCTTGAATCCCTAGGAATCTCTGGAATCCCTAGGAATCTCTGGAATCCCTAGGAATCCATGGAATCCCTGTGAATCTCTGGAACCCCTAGGAATCTTTAGAATCCCTCGGAATCTCTGGAATCCCTAGGAATCCCTGGAATCACTAGGAATCTCTGGGATCCCTAGGAATCTTTGGAACCTATAGGAATCTCTGGAATCCCTAGGAATCTCTGGAATCGCTAAGAATCTTTGGAATCGCTAAGAATCTCTGGAATCCCTAGGAATCCCTGGAATCCCTAGGAATCTCTGGAATCCCTAGGAATCTCTGGAATCCCTA